TTGCCAAGTCCGCCTTTTTCCACAGTGCCAGCCTCGCTGTGCCGAGCAGACTGTTTGGATGATGGGTTCATCCCAGGATGTTAGCTCATTTCTACATGTATCATCAAGGTAGCTTATCTGCAAACCTCAAACCCCCGCTTCCGGTCGGTAACAAGATGGCGCCCGTGCTTGGCTTAGCCGCAGTCAACGGCCACTTTTTCAAACTTTTCTCCACTAACCTCCTCTTTTCCACCTTGCTCCTGTCTGCGATCCTCTTCAGTAGTGTCCCTTCTACCATCTCCTATGATCGCCAGACTCTTTTGTCCTTTGGTTCGTTCACGATCGCCCAAGATGCACAGGGGACGTACCTCCCTGTTTGTTTATCTGAGTGATGCACTGGCCCAGGGCCAAACGACGATTCCAACCAGGGCGCCTCCAGCTAAGTTTATCTGGTCCCGGGAAAACGTCGGGGGAAAAGAGGTAAGTGAGCAGGAATCCAGGTGAGAATAAGACTTCTCTTAAAGCGTGGTTTATCTAGTAAACATCAGCGTGATCTTCTAGCTTCTTGTTCTTTATTTGGCGACTTGAGCGCCACTTCCGCATTCCCGCCAGGCCGCGTTGCGGCGCGGTTTCTCCATCAAAGTTTTTTAAGGTCGGTTTATCCTCATTCCTCAGTGGTTTCTCCTCCTGTTCCCTCCATAAGTAGTTTTTATAAACACCGTGGATCTAACCCTACTAATTTACGTCCACTAACTCCAGCTGTTTCTGTAGTTTCTGATTCCTCCTCCTCACTCAGCATGGCCCTATTGAACACCCACTCTGTTAACAATAAGTCCTTCCTGCTCAATGATTTAATTTTCTCTAAAAACCGGGATTTTCTGTTTCTGACTGAAGTTTGGCAGCAAACATCTGATTATTCTGGTCTGATTGAACTCTGCCTGAGTGGTTATTCTTTTCTTAGCCAGCCCCTGGGTTCTGGTTGTGGTGGAGGCCTAGCTGTTGTTTCCAGAGACCATCTTCCATGTAGCTCTACAACCTCTTGTCACTTTGCTTCCTTTGAACTGCAGCTGATTAAAGTCGGGTGTAAGGACCCGTTCTACTGTGCTGTGGTTTATCGTCCACCTGGTCCAAACAGTTCTTTCCTTCAGGAGTTTTGTGACTTCCTATCCTCCACTGTGAAGCTGTCCAGACTGGTGATTGTTGGTGACTTTAACATCTGCGTTGATGATCCCTCTGACCACTTTGCCATGAATTTCTCCAGCCTTATGGACTCCTTCCGCTTTACCCAGCATGTTTCTGGCCCCATACACACCAGGGGGCACACTCTAGACCTTGTTTTTACCCTGAGTCTAAATGCTGACAGTGTTTGTCCTGAGGACGTTTATATTTCAGATCACCATTGCATTTTCTTTAACTTGTCAGTTTCTGCGTCCCCACCTCCTGCTCGCTGTATGGTCAGTTCTTGTTTTCTTAATGAGAGCACAGCTAGCAATTTTTCTGCTGCTTTTAATCCACCCTGTTCTTCTGATAACGAGCCAGATTCCTTAACTTCTCAGTTTAACGAGAACTGCCTCTCCATTCTGGACAATATCTGTCCTGTCAGAACCAGATCAGTTCCTGCAGTGAATCCTACTCCCTGGTTTAATGACAGCATTCGCAGCCTAAAGCGCCAAAGCAGAAAAATTGAGCGCTCGTGGAAGAAACCCCATCTGGGCTGGGCATAAGTAATTTTACAACATTGGTTTAAATAGCGCCAATGACGAGACGCGGTGACTGGAGTGGCTCATGGAGCTGTGCTGCACACACACACACACACACACACACACACACACACACACACACACACACACACACACTCACACACATACACACACAGATTCAATAAGCGCACGCTGCGCAAACTCCGGCGTTGCGCTGCACTGCGCCGCGCTGTCAGACTTAAGGCAGAAATGAGCACTGCCTCCTCCGTGATGAAAACAACTTTTATAACAACATTTTTCATTCAAGCTCAAATTAAGATATTAGCTTATATTTGGGAATGACGTATGAAATTCGAGTCTGCTCCAGCCAGTGACTCCTCATGAGCCTGACCACAAATCATGTCATTGCAGCATTTGTTATTCCAGTCCGCGTGGCAGCGGATCGCAGATTCAGCCACACCATAAAACAGCAATAAGTTGGTCTGAGGCAAAAGTGAACCTCATGGCTATAGCTTTTCCATCTTTTCCCCTATAGACATTTGATTACGCACAAGTAAGTGATCAGCTCAGGTTTACGCAGAGCAGAAGGAAGGAGAGCGCTCTGGCCACAGGTTAAACGTTCCTACTTTAAGAAAACCATTAAATTGCATTTTTTTAATGTGCTACCTGGGCACTCTAAATATTTATTTAAAATTAAATCAAAGGAAATTGTAATGGTATTGAATGTTTATTAATTACTACTTAAAAAATGAAAGTGATGGGGAAAATGGTCGATCATGTTTTTTAACTCTGTCTGTCAAGTGACTGTTTAGCTTGACGTCTGATATATATATATATATATATATATATATATATATATATATATATATATGTATGTATGTATTTATAGTCATGCCCTGATGTGGGGGCTGGGGGGTGCGTCGACATGGTAGGGACATAGAAGGGGGTGCGCGGCTAAATAAGTTTGGGAGCCGCTGGTTTAGACAGACAACCTGAAGTTAATTCTTTAATGAGGACCCTCTATTATAAACTCCTAATTACCAACAAACCTTTACTTATTTTGCAGCTGAGGATCAACTCCTAGAATCTGCTCAGGAAGATGTACGGAGCGGTGACAGTAATACACCTCTCAGCTCCCACCCTCTCTTGATATCTGACTTGTCTGAAAAAGCAATAACTTTTGACAGACATCCACACCTGGCCCCACAGATTTCCTCCATAATAAACTGTAGCTTAATATCACACCCTTATACTCTTCACAGTGGTGCTGACATGAGCTGGAGTGAGAAATAAAGACATCCTAATAAAAATCTTTCACCCGTCTCACCCTCAGATTAACATTTTAAATTATAATTTTAACAAGAACCAATTAAGCGAGTTCTTCTAAAGCCTCCAGGGGATATTGTGATTTCTGAAGACATAAAAGGTTGCTTTGAGACAAAAAAATATTTGTTTTTATTACTCAACAGAGGCCTAATATAACATCTTATCTGTAAACTCTGTCATAAGAGCTCTGACGAAAGACACACACTGTGCACTCAAAAGCTGCTCATCGCACGAGAGCACACAAACATGCACTATTAAACATGGACTTTTGCACATAAACAAGAATGGGGCAAACATTACTCGTTAAATCCAATTAACCCTTTGCTCTGATCTCTTCAATGCATCCCTGCTCCATCTTGTAACACCAGATCCTCCCGCCATTTCATTAGCACACACACACACACACACACATACACACACACACACACACACACACACACACACACACACACACACACACACACACACACACACACACACACACACACACACACACACACACACACACACACACACACACACACACACACACACACACGCGAATCCTCACCATTCGAACCCAGTCACAACCCTGCTAATGCACATCCTATAATCAAATCCACCAATCACTGTATTCCGTGCAAAGGCCCGTGTCACATGACTAACTGCACATTAGCTCAACGCTTGCTTGGAGTTAGCGCTGTCATTTAGCACTAATGTGATTCGAGAGTATCTTTTTTTTTCTTTAATGTGATTTGGGGAGTCTAAGCTCTGGCTTCTACGAGTCTAGCGCTAAACCCCTGGTGGGCTAGGCTAATCAGTTTCCAACATTTCTGAGGGAGACAATGATCCCGGTGTTAGCTCTGGCTAATGACAAGCTAACACAATCAGCGTAGCCTCCCTAGAGGTGAGCTCAGAGCCAGGGCCCAGCCTTGCCCCACCTCCTACAGGCTCCTCATCCACTTTCCTTACATTACTATGGAGGCTAATGGCCTCTTATTAGGAAGACAGATGGAACATGAATGGAAAGAGATTCTATGCCCTCTTGAGTTACAATTATGTGTTGGATATGAGTTACATTCATGTCCGTTTAAATTTAAAATTCATATCCTGCTTATCATTTTTATTCCAAGTTAACATCGGTTATCAGGAATAAAGGTTAATTACTCATTCATCACATTAAATGCTTTGGCTTGTCTCCATGTCTTGTTTCTTAATGCAACAAAAAGTTACTTGTTAAAAATACATAAATGTTTTAAACACCTTGCTGCTTGATTCAGGTTTAGGCATGTATGTAAAAAAACACTCTTTTTAAAGTTAAATTCTCAACTAGCAAGAGTTCTTTCAAGAATCACCATGAGATGATCAGAATTATCAGTGAACCACATCATCAACATCGGCTAATGGGCCACACTAATGTGGTTTTGATTGAAAGATGTTGGTTGGAATGAGGCTAGCGTAATTCAATAGCATAGCCAATGGTGCATGAAAACATGTTACCGCATCACTACACGCAAGATCAAAACATACATGATGACAAAAAAGGTTTAGGTTGTAAAATTGATGAAATAAATGAAAATTAAAGACTGCTGCCCTGTGAGTGATAGTCTCACAATATTGTACCTGTTAAAAGCAAACTGTGGTCTAGCTTGTTGACACAATGCTTCATCACGTTTGAGTGCATGAGCATGTTTGGATTAAACACTATTCTCTTTAATTGCCAAACAACTCTTAGTTTTGACAAAACACTAAATCTGAATGTTACGACTACAAAGTTTAGCAGCTCCCAAATCTCAAATTAACTTTCTGTGACATTTCTTAATTACTTCTCGAAAACCTGATACTTCTCTGCAGCCTTCACCTCACCCCATCTGTTGTTATCAGTTATGTGATTTTCAGATCCTCACCAGGCTTTTAGTCGTTGAGTGGAATCAAGCTTTAGAAAGAAGGATGGCCACACTTTATAGTTACTTTTTAACTTACTGGTGAGCTGGGATCGAGCGATATTACACTTACTTGAATTTGGCATTGACTTGGTCAGCAGCTTTGCGGTAGTTCTCAGTGGTGACCTTGTAGAACTGAGCGCTCTGCAGAGGCAGACAGAAGAAAGTCTGAGTGAGGGAAATACACAGACATGATTCTTGCTAATGTGAAAATATAGATTGAAACTCATTATGTAAAAACAACACATTGCAGCAGCATTTCAGATGTTTCTGCGCAGTTCATATTTTGATGTAGTGCTACGTTCAGTGCAGTATATTCAGCTCCGCTTCATCTCTCAAATCTCATTAAAATCTAATGGAGAAGGATATTACCAGCAGATGGTTGGGTTTCCTGTGCACAATGCACTTTTCAAGTGAACAATAACTTAAAGAGAAAAGGGGTTGCAAAGAAAAAAAAACTATTGCACTATATTTTACTCTGGTTGTGCAACTTGTGTGCAAGTGTGAATTATGATGTTTGTGTTTATCGTCTCACAAAAGACTACTGTAATAACAGAGAGCAAACCGGGAAGGCCACAAGGTCACTAGTCAACAATGTACAGACCCATTGGTCAACCCCCCCTGGTGACCTGTAGCAAATGAGCCCAAAGCAGGACCACTCAAACTAAATTACCTCCTCAAACACAGACATACACCCCTGCTCCTAGACCATTTAAACAACTTCAGAAAGATCTGTCTCGTCACCCTCCAGTGGCTGTTTATAATTTATATTTATAATCACACTGTGAGAGGTTGCAAAGAATGACAGATAGCTCGACTGAATGGTACACAATAACAGATGGGGGGATTTTTACAAATGTTTCTGCCGAGGATGGCAAAGTAAAATACTTTAAATTCTAAATCTTAATATGGCTATACTTAGGGATGGGTACCGAATTCGGTACTCTTTAGGGTACCGACCGAATTCCATAGTACCGACCGAGCACCAATTCACGTCATTTCAAACGGTGCCTCGTTTCGGTACCCGTCCTTCATAACGAGAACTTGCCTAGACAGCTGCGCATGCGCAAGAGCGTTTTGTCGTCGGTCGCTGCGAGCCAGTTGTAAACAGAGCAGCATGGTAGAAAGAACACATCTTAATCTGCTCCGGTAGGTAAATATAATTAGCTTGATATGTTAGCTTCCGTTTCGCTAATGGTGCGTTCGCTTTCTCCTCGGAACTCTGAATTCCCGACTAGAAGAACATGAACGCGCTCTAAAGTTTGGCTTCACTTTACTAAATGCGACGGGTGAAGACGAAACCAGTGACAACGATCTAAGTGTGAGGCATCATCGTTTTAATCTGCTCCAGCAGCTAAATAAACTGTTTAAGATAACGTTAGCTTGGTATGTTAGCTTCCATTGCTACCATTGTTATCAGCTAATGGTGTGTTCGCTTTCTCCTCGGAAATTCTAACTTCCCAGTAGGAAAAATCTAATGAAAAAAGACGGCAAAAGGAATGAAGATACACAGTAAATTTAGTTCACAGTAAAGATGTTTGCTTCAGTTTAATTATCAGCTTATAAAACTACAAGGACGAAGTTAAAATACAAACAGTTGAATGTTATTTATCGTGATATTTATCAAATACTGTTATATATTGAGAAAAATATATATTTAATTATAAAAGAGAATTAAAATAATAAACACTCAAAAGTATCGAAAATTGGTACCGTTAAGTACCGGTATCGATTCGTAGGTACCGGGAATTAGTACAGAATCGATTCAAATGCCAACGGTATACCCATCCCTAGCTATACTCTCTGAAATGGTCAGTCCTTTAAAAAAACTACAGTCTATAATGTGCAATAGATGCAATACAAAATATAAGCATTAAAGTTGTAAAATTACATATGATGGCACCCAAATGCTTTTATACATTATATTTAAAATAAGTGCAATCTAGAAACAGTAACATGGACATGAACGTGTCCTAATGTCTAGCTGCGTGTTTTGCACAAAATGTTCAAATCATATTGTAATATAATATAGGTATTTATGGCTATGGTAATAGCTAAAATAATGGCCAGACCAACAGGAAGTCTAAAATTAGTGTTTTTAAAACAACTAATCATAATCATTATAAATTATTCAGCTGATTCATCAAACTTATTTATGAGAAATAATTGACCCTACAATCAACCTGCAGACATTCCAAATACACAATAAAGGTGACAAATTCATGCTTCTTGGTGCTGCCTGCTTTGACGTCATCTTCTTGCTGGGCAGACATTCATCATAGTTCAGCATGGATCAATAGGAATGAACTGCGCTGCTGAACAGATCGATAGTCATGCGTTATAGAGGTAAAAGAGGATGGGACACGGCACTGACAAAAGGTCTGATACCAATTTGAGTCCTCTTCATTTGGATAGACACTTTTACAGATGAACCACGATGGATTGAAAGTACTTCACTTGCTCAGAGTGCAGAGTTTCAGAAGTCATTCACACTGTTTTGTAAAACATCAATATGCATGCTGCTCCCAGTCTGTCCATGAAATACGCAGGCTCAGTTGTGAGTTCTCAGTCAGGAGGTAAATTGGATTTGAGAAATTAAAGTATTGTCAGTGTGTTTACGCAGATTGATGAGGAAATTTACAACAAATACTGAAACTGTTGGGGGTGAGAATGAAAGTTTACTTCATCAGCCAATCCTCATCGTTCCCTGAATGAAAATCAGTTTCTAAAACAGATGAAGGAGTATTAGCAGGTTTGGTGGAGTGGTAACAACATGACCTGAAAAACAAGTAAGCAATCCAGAATTACAAAGAAGGGTTTAAAACAGAGGCTCAGTCAAAGAGGAGTCAAATAAGCAGAGATTTTGGGGGATGCTAAAGAGGCGAGAATAAGACCTGTCCTGGGTTCTGAGACTAACCCACTGGAAGAGAAGGAGAGACGGACCCAGCGAGGCTTGGGTCCCTGTCTGGAATACTAAGTATAAGGTAATAACACCTGCCTAAATGGCAGCGCTGGTACTAATCAGCGCACTAATCCACCTGAAAGGACAAAGGGGTTGTGTGTGTGTATGATTGCAGACCTTTTTAAAATACATGTGCACTAGAGTTCTCACACAAAGCTAGCATGTGTCGACACAAGCTGAAAATGTACACGCACCCTGGCGGTTGGATATAAACAGGGTCACCAGCAGAGAAAAGTGTAATTTGTGTGATTACTGAGTGGCCTCAATTGTGATGTCCTGCTGTTGTCCCAACTGATTTTGAGTAGCCTTGACCTTTTTTTAGCCCAGACAAGACAGGCCAGTCTGAAAACATTCCCTTTAAGTGATCGCAGTGGCAAAACACAACCACACAGTGTTCCCTCGAAGAAACAAATGTTTTTACCACTGTTTGAGGTTGAGCTATGCAATGTCATTGGATGAGCAACATCTTGCAGCAACAAGAACCTAGCAGAGTCATTACCTCTGAATGCAATAAAGCATCAATCACCTCTTGGAAGAAATGGATTCTGTTTATGTTCACACCATTTAGTGTCTTTGCCTTCCGCGAGGATTTTAGCTCATCTGGAGAAAAACAAAACGCCAGTAAAAGGGGCGTCAAAGACAGATTAAGTCATTAATGCTAATGCACTGCAGCAATGTGGAGAAGATAAAAGTGGCACCCTGGTACAGGCTCCAGCTGAAGTTAGAGAAATATCTTGGAAATTGTAACGACTAAAACAAATAACTCAACACACTGATGGCTTCTCTCTCCAAGCTGCTGCTGAGCTGAAGGGCCCTAGGAGCCCCACTATGACCACCATTAGGATGAAGGAAATGAGGCTTCTGCTGTGTGACTCAGCAGAGAAGCATACGATTAATTAAACAAACCAGAGTTACTGTTTTGAAGTTTAAGCATTTTCTTTTGCTTTAAGAGCCAGTGTGAGGAGTCGAAGACGTGACACCAAGCATGTAAGACAGCTTCAGGTAAGTTAATGGGTCTTTTGGCCGATTTTTTTGTGCATTGGTGGGCAAAAGTTATAACTTTATCTTACCAAGAGAACCTGCTGAATGGTCCCAGTTTGGAGAAATGGTGTCTATGTGCAGCAGGACTAGATGTGTAACATCACAGACACGTAAGTCCCCGTAAGCTTAACAGCGCATCCCCACACACACAAGGTTACAAAATCACTGGAGAATGGCAAGATCACATGTGATTTTGCACGTTCACACAATAACAAGCAAAGAGAAAGACAAGAGAATGTATCCAAAAGGCCTGTGGTTAATTTTCTGTTCTTTTTACCCCAGCTACGAAGGTGTCACATTCAATTAGGGATGGGTACCTTTGACATTTGAATCGATTCGGTACTAATTCCCGGTACCTAGGAATCGATACCGGTACTTAACGGTACCGATTTTCGATACTTTTGAGTGTTTATTATTTTAATTAACTTTTATAATTAAATATATATTTTTCTCAATATATAACAATGTTTGATGAATATCACAATAAATAACATTCAACTGTTTGTATTTTAACATCGTCCTTGTAGTTTTGCTAATAATTAAACTGAAGCAAACATCTTTACTGTGAACTAAATTTACTGTGTATCTTCATTCCTTTGGCCGTCTTTTTTCAATTGATTTTTCCTACAGGGAAGTTAGAATTTCCGAGGAGAACCCGAACGCACCATTAGCTGATAACAATGGTAGCAATGGAAGCTAACCTATCAAGCTAACATTATCTTAGACAGTTTATTTAACTGCTGGAGCAGATTAAAACAATGATGCCTCACACTTAGATCGTTGTCACTGGTTCCATCTTCACCCAATCACCCGTCGCATTTAGTATAGTGAAGCCAAACTTTAGAGCGCGTTCATGTTCTTCTAGTCGGAAATTCAGAGTTCTGAGGAGAAAGCGAATGCACCATTAGCGAAACGGAAGGTAACATATCAAGCTAACGTTATCTTAAAGAAAAAGTCAACCCCTACCAGAGTCTAACTCCACTCCCACTTCATGTTTGAAAAATGCAACACATGCTGTTGCCTGGCAGACCGAGGGGGCGGAGCCGCAAACAAATACACACACACTCAGGCTCTTGACAGCATTGTGACATCATAATGTACCAGTTTACATCATAGCATACTTCTTAGCCAATAGCGGTGGCAGATTTAAATTAAAATACAGTGCAGAGTTTTTACCTGACAACGGCACAACACTGCCAGTTTTAGGCAGAATATTTAAATTTTAACTAAGATGCACTGAAGTGCCAAATTATTGACGACACGTGTCTGCAGCACGATTAGACACTCGTTTATTTAGTTTATCAGCAAAAAAAAGTTTATTTGGGGGTGACTTGCTCTTTAAACATTTTATTTACCTACCGAAGAAGATTAAGATGAGGATGTCTCACTTAGATCATTGTCGCTGGTTTCATCATCACCCAGTTACCCCTCACATTTAGTGAAGTGGACCCAAGCTTTAGCGTGCGTTCTTTCTACCATGCTGCTCTGTTTACAACTGGCTCGCAGCGAGCGACGACATAACGCTCTTGCGTATGCGCAGCTGTCTTGGCAAGTTGTCGTTATGAAGGACGGGTACCGAAACGAGGCACCGTTTGAAATGACGTGAATCTGTGCTCTGTCGGTTCTATGGAATTCGGTCTGTACCTTAAAAAGTACCAAATTCGGTACTCATCCCTACAGTCAATTGTGTTTTTTTTTCTACTAGCTAGGCAAAAGAAGAACTGCACACGTCTTTATTTTGAAAGTTGTCTAATGCTTACATTGCTCCTGTGTCTGACTTCCTGTATGGCCTGATCTGAACTGCTGAGCTTGACATGTTCTGGAAGTGTATCACAAAAAAAATAGACCCAAAGCTTAAATTAAGCAGAGGTGGGATACATATATCTGTGGCTATTAGCTGCGTATTATGCCTTGTGGACGTTACACAGCACTTAATTAAATGTCCTCTATAATAAATTTGACCGTGACATGCATCCAGTGGAAAGCCAGGGTTTTGATCTAACCGATGGTAAAAATGCAGCTAAAGCCAAGGTGGATTGCTGCTTAAAATGGCTTCAATCTCCTAAACTAATCTTCATTTGCTCTATAAACATATTCCAAAACAAACCGTATGTTTATTTCGTACAAACCATTGTGGGTTCTATGATGTTAACTCGTTCTCAGACCTCGGTGAAATAAGCCCAGTGATGGATGACTAACACTTCTAAATGTTTTTTAAGGACCAAACCAGTGACCTTACATTTAAAGGATGACCCACCTCCCTCCTGAGCAACAGCTGCCACTGAGCTTCAGTCCCACAGAATCTCATCATGCAGCCAAAACAGGAAACGGTAGGAAACATGATAATCTAACAGTAGAAAGCATTGTTGTATTTTTATTACTCTCGTCATGGTGATTACATTTGTAGCCTCAAACTGAGAAAATATACAAAAATAATGAAAAATTGCTAAAAAAAAAATGTATTGTTTTTCTCTCCTTCTAGCATTCATGCTGTTGAACAATAGCAACAATACTTCCACACCTGTCCTGGAATAGAGAGGAATAACGAAATGATGGGTAGAGCGAGTGAGGAAGCTAGTAAATCAAAGGCACAGAGACAGAGATGGAAGGCATTACTGTTTTTCTAAATCTCTCTAGCGAGCTTTTCTTACTTTCACAGAGCTGCGGAACTTTGCTATGAGATGGCAATTGCTGCTGTGATTGTCCTCCATAGGAGAGCAGAAAAATCCAATTTCATTGATATACAAGAAAAGAAGAACGACGGACATGAGAGAACAAAATCTTTCCGGGAAAATAAAGAAATAGGGGCATGCAAGGGAGGGAAACTTTAGTGAAAAAAATCTGTAAAGAAAAAAAGATATATAAAGACAGATATGGAGGAGAGGGGGAGCAGAAAGATTGGTTTGGAGGGGAAAAAGAAACATCGGCAAGTTGATTGTTAAATATGAGATTGTTTTACAGCACGGCAGGTATTGAGTGAAAATTTAATAAATATATAGATATTGTTTTCAGGGGCTATTTGGTAGCTGTGAACCCAATGAACAGCAGCAGCAGAGGCAGTAGGCTGAGCTGTCTGGGAGCCTGGTGATGGCCTGTCACTGGAAGCCCCTCTGATGAATGACCATGTTGGATTGGAAGAGACATGTAATATATATCAGACTTACATTCTATCTCTCCCCTTCTAGCTCTCTTTTGGTCACTTTGCCACTTTTTGGCTGGTGTGCAAGCTGCTTTTTTGGGGGGGGGGGGGGGGGGGGGGGGGGGTGTCTAAGATCTAGCACTGAAAACAGTAAAAGGCCATGACATGTGAAGGAAGATTTCCGTTACCTAGCAAATGCAAACTCTAAATCAGCGTAATCACAAAGGGGACAGAAGGGGTTAATCTGAAAGTATATTGTCGGCTCTAACATGAAGACAGGGATTGTGTTGGTGCACACATCTGCAGTGATTTTAGCTTCCTTCTGGGGAAGAGCATGGGGAGAGAAAGGCTGGAATGTGAGCCAGAAGGGCAATGAGACAAAAAAAGAGATAAAAAATGGTTTAATAAACATATGGGATCGCAAGCAATGTGCCCACCGTTGATCATCATTTACACACAGCTGAGATGGGAGGTATGGTGCAAACAAGTCTTCCTTTCTTAATGCAAGTTTGGTGGACAGCGTGCCGTTTAATTCCTCAACTGAGTTGATAAATAAATAACAATTGTTCAATTTTGATATTCTTTCCACTGATTCACATTTCTAATTCCCCCTCCCTTTCTTTTCTACGGTTGTAGAGATCTTTCTGCCTTTTCTCCTCTTGTTCTCATTTGTGACATTTACTCTTTCTGCTGCTCCTCTGCCTCTTATTTTCATCCTTCCCTTGTTCTTATTCAACATCACATTCTCACAAATGTCACTTTATCATCATTCTTAGAGATAACTTCACAGGTGAAATCTGTTTAATTCCAGTGCGCGTCTCCTGCTATCCCGGTTTTGTTTTTTATCTCGTTAGAGTTTGAGTTAAATCAGTGTTTCTCTCTTTTTATCCCCGACTCCTGTCCCTGTTGTCCATCCATGGCTCTGAGTGTCTCTCTCTCAATCTTTCATTTCACTCTGAGGTGTGAAGGTGATTTGTTGACATTTTGATCAAAGGATTATTGACCAGAGGTCAGGATAGCTGATGGATGGTGAGTGCTTAGAGTCGATAGCGCTTCTGTTCATTGGGACTCATCACTTTTATTATCTGCACCAACATTTGCTTCTGTATGTGAAACAATCCAGGGATGTCACCATGTCATAAAAGCTGAGGAAAAGGACTTTATGGATAGATGTTTTTACTGGCCGTGGTCTCATACATCTGCTTTGTCCTTCACTTAGGCCTAGTCCACACGTAGCCGTTTTTTTTTAAATAGATATCCGCCCCTCCAAAAACTTGCATCCACACCACCTCGTTTTAAAAAAAAACTGTCCACACGTACCCGGATAAATACGTTTTTAAGGATATGCCAGACCTGTAGGCGGCAGTACTTGGAGAAGCCAGGTGCCGGGCAATAGCCGTTCTTAACCTCGTCCTTCGTCTGTGGTCTTCTGCAAGGAGCAGTAATTCCGCTTGCAAAAACAAACAAGCAAAAAGCGCTTGGACAGTTGATAAAGCGAGCGCAGCACTGAGGGCATCCATGCTGCCGGCTAGTGTAAACACAGGTCGCACACGTGATGTCAGCATTTTTGTGTCGCGGAAAGTGACGTTGTGGACCCTAAAACTCCGGTTTTGTCTGTCCACATGCAGACACCCAAAACGGAGAAAACGCAGATCTTCACTTTGGCCGGAGTTTTTAAAAAGATCCGTTTTCGTGTGAAAAAACTCCATTTTCGTGTGAATGACAGCCCAAAACGTAGAAAAATATCTACATTTTGGCAGATCCCCGGTTACGTGTGGACAGGGCCTTAGATCACAGCCTTATTATTATTTAAAAAAATCCAAAGATGAATTTAATTGACTGTGGTGTTAATAATGACTGATTTGGGTGAATACTAAATGATTTTAACTTATGTAAGAATTAAAAACAAAGCCAGATGTCGGTGCCCTTTTGTCCTTTTTACTCCACTATGGAGAAAATTTGACTTTTTGCTCCATCCAAAGGAGAACTCCTCCTTCACAGCGTGATTGTATAATTTTAAGGACACTGAATGAGGCATTATAGCCTTGCTGGGATACTTATGATCTCAGAACTGCATGAAGGCATCCTTTTTTACTGAGCTTTAAAAGGGCACTTGACCCCAATCCCCTGCCCTGCAGGCAAAGACCAGTATGGTGCTGTCATTTCAAGTGTGCTAATCATGGCAGCTGACCCTTGTCCAGATGTATAGGACTCTACTATAGCATGGAGCATCAGGGTAATGTTGTTCTCAGGCAAAGAGAGACACTCACTGGGATGAATAAGACTGAACTTTTTATCCTTTAAGCAGAGTAAGAAAGGTTCAAAGTTCAAGGGCAAAACAGGCTAAAACTGTTTAAGAAGTAATTAGAAAGAGCGAACAAGCCTATTTTATTGTATAGCACACAATATTGCATTAAAACATTCCTGAACGCAGTGTAAACAGCAAGTCGTCCTTCATTTATAACAACTTGGCAAAGAACCAAATGAAATAGTTTGTGAAGCTGAGTTAAAGACACTGACACATAAATGATTTGGATTTGGACTGAATAGAAAAAATACATTTAAGAAGTCTATTAAGTTAGTTTCTTACTCTTTCTTCCAGTCGGGCAACTTGTTCCCGGTAGAAAGCATCCTGCTTTTTCAGATCTGCTTCCTTTGCATCCAGCTGCTTGGCCTGAACACACAAATACACACAAAAGAGAACAAAAAGTTGTGTTTAGCAAAGGGATCAGTGACAAACTCATAAAAGAATACTTACTCAAGACAAGAATAAAACGTATTGGTATGAAGATAACTAAAGTTCATTTACTGTACAAAGTACTGAACCAGAAATGTGTACAAAGCTCTTTAGACGATGTTAGTTTATGTGTGGACGCCAAAAACAAGAGGCCTGATCAGCCCATGGCAGGTTCTTGATGTCCTCTTTTGTTTGTTTCTCAGCCAAACGATCAGCCCACAGAGATAAGATCATTTGTTGTTTCAAACAAGCGTTGTGTTCTGCCACATATATTTACCCAGACTACCTGTCTTCACTGTCCTCCCCTCTACCGTGACCTTCACTAAATGTATGGCGGACTTCTATGTGACACACAGGCTGGATAAGACCCAATAAATCACACCATCATGTTGTGAACGCGGACCAACGGCTAACCAAAACACTAACAGGTTACATGCTCTACAATCAACAATAATAAAATATTTAAGAAATGAAATCATGTTCAAATAAACAAAGATGGGAGCAAAAGCTATAATTTATGCTATACTGCAATGATTATCCAGGCAGCAGCATTTGACTTCTCTGGTAACACAACAGCAAGTAGAAAACTCCTCATCGACACCTCTATAGAAGCATTAGGAGGAAACAAGCTGTAAACGCATGTTTACAAAATGTGGATGCTGAAATAAACAAGCTGGCCAAAAGACAAATGTCTGAAATCAAAGATACTTTAAAGAAAAAGAAACCGTTTGTTGAGCAAAGACGATGGGAAGAAGTCTAGTGAGAAACTAGACTCACCTTCAGTTCAAACTCCTGAATCAAGAAAGCAATAAAAAGAAAATAAGAGCGTAACAGACAATGAAATTAGTTATTGTTTACGTAATCAGAGACCAGCCCATGAGAGGCTGGTTTTATACTTATAGCTCCTTCTCAGTTTACTTTCTTGTTCTCAAATGCCAAAAAATATTAAATGCACAACTGTACGTTACGGCAGTACACTGAAACAACGAGCAAAATACAACAATGGATGAAAAAATGCCCATTACCTCATCAAATCCTCTCTCCACTGATAACATCTGTGCTTTAGCTACTCAACACACTGCAGGGGAGACGGCATGCTCCATGCATTGTGATGAGAGGAGATGAGGGGTCTCAGAGAGGAGCGGTCCTCACATGAGCCGAGTGGAGGAAGTTTCAAAGTCAAGGGGATGCTCCAAGCTTGCCCATAACACAGGAGCCCTCACAAAGTCAAACACCTTCTTTATGGTGTCAGACGCAGCAAATAAAACAAACTCCTGGGCGATACTTTATCACACTCCTGACGCTACGAGCAAAAACCCACCAGGACCGAGGTGCTACCGTCTCTGGTGTCCTCAGCTCAACCTCACATAACCAACGACTGCTGTGGTCAAGCACTTTTCGTCACTATGAATCCTTTTAAGAGGTGCTTTTGTTCATCTAATGTTGTACAATGGCTTGGCGCAGCTGCACTGCATGATAGAATCAGGTAAAATTTATACCTAAATGACGGTGCTCGGTAAACGTGCCCTGAAGGATGCCTTTAAAAATGTGCAGTTACTACAGATGAGACCTGTTATTGATTCTGAGCCTGCAATCACGGCCTCTAGGATGGAAAAGTTTTCAAGAGACTGGATTACGTTGTCGTGGTGCCAGAAAACTGTCTCCCACCAACAGCTCAATTTAGTCTGAAGAGACAAGGGATGATGGGAAGAGGGGGGCATTGGCAGGGGGTTGCTATATTGTCACAAGGTGTCCAAACTCAATGTTACGCTGCTAGGTGGTGACTAAAGACTTTGGCGTTGCAGGGAAAGACAAAAACATGCACACAAGCACAGTGAGGCAGACAATAGCTCAGACACTGATCTGTAACACACAAATCATCACATGCACACGCAGCAGCCTGAGCAGCTGTACCCACAGAGAGAGGGTGGGGAGATAAATGTGTGCTGATGGCACCACTAAAGGGGTCATTAAAAGAGGAGAGGTTGTGACAGAAATGTGTACCAAGGGATTTTCTTCTTTTATTCACTGTTGTGTGGGTCTCTGCATGTCTACATGCACATGCACCAGTGCGTGTGCTCAATTTCCATTTGAGCAGGTTGGCCCACAACCACAGATGCGCACACATATTATGTCAGGATTACTTTGCACTGATTAATCCCATTCAGCAGACTTTAAAGATAATCTAATCAAACTAAGGGCCAAACAATAGGACAGACTTCAGCACTGTCCATCCACCTTTTGTTCCCCTAATAAGGAGGCGGTCGTTGTTGAAGGAGGAGAGCTCGGGTATGGGCTGAGGGTGGAAGAGGAAAAGAAAGGAAGAATTAGACAAGAAAATGGAAGTGAACTTGAGGGAACAGAGAGACAAAGAGCAGAGACAATAAAAAGTGACTTATCAATAGAGGTGTCACAAAGGGGAAACTGGCTCTTTGGTGGGACATGAAGCATGGGTTAAGTCTGTTTTTTGTGAAATACATTTTCTCCTCACAGCAGCAAAATTCATCTGCAGACCAAGCGGTCACATTACCAGGAAACTTAGACTCAATCCATTTGTGCCCGTCCCTTCCTAATACAGTAGCTTACTGGCTGAGGGTGACACACGTTGGGGAGTGAGACCACAGTGGTCAGATTAAACGAACCACTTAGGCTTGGTGATCGCCTCTGTGAATATCAATTAGCCAGCCGCTGAATAATTAAGGACAACTATGTTTTTTAATTAGCTGACTGCCGCAGTTTGAGCTGGGTGAAGGGACTGAGAACGAGGCGCAGGAGGAGGAGCAGGGAGGAGCTGAGGAGAGGAGGATGGAAGAGGGATGAGAACAGGTGGATTTAGCTGCGTCAGCCCTCCTCCCCTTAACTGTTCTCTCACTGAATTGCTCCCATATAGACTATTTTCTTTCACACCTGCTTTTTTTCTTTCAAATGTTCTGACACTTGCTCTTTTTTTTTTTTTTTTTTATACTTTAAACCATTTTAAGAGACTGAAATAAAAATAACTCCTGTATGTCGGCAGTATTACAGTCTTTCCTTGGGCTACACACTGGGCTCTGCTAGAATAAAGACTTATTCTAAATACACTTGTACATTCTATTAGCGCAGTTCCTGCTGTTTGGACAAGCAGTAAACTGCACAACTAAAGCGAGGCATAATATTTGAAAGTTTTCATTTTCATCAGTCGCCAACAGTGAAAAAAAATTGTAATTTCAGAAAAAACTGACAGAATTTCCTTACATATAGTTTTTCATTTCACACCTCAGTGATGAAATTCCTCTAATGTAATAAAATAAGATTCTCCTCTCTTTCAGTGTGCCTGCTAGATACTTATAAATCATGATAGGTGAAAACAATCTCGAGTTGTCATGATCAATAGAGCACAAATCAAATCTCATCACGTTCTTCTTCCGGCTCTTGGAGAGTACAGACGCTTTTTTCCTCCTCTCTTCCCTATCTTATCCCAAGGCTCTTTGTCTTTGGGTGTACGGCACTTCTGCATTTTTTCTGGAAACTGGAAATTATTAAAATGGATCTGGTCAGTTGGTCTCTCAACGCAATTGACAAAAATTTTTCAGTGATGAGAACGGGAGAAGGGGCTCCCGGTTGCCCCTCTGGGACAGAGCCAGCTGGGCATATCATGGACTCCTGGAAACAGTGGAACCTGATCTGCCTCTCTCAAATGTCTGTAGAGGATTCTGAAGACGTCTGGATATTCGTGGTGTTGGTGTCAGGTGCTTTTCGGCCTGAGTGGTTACCTGGCTTACCGGAAAATTAATGAGCTTTCGAGGAATACTGGCTAAATCCCGGAGCTCAGGGATGGATTACACCACGCTGTGAATGCACAAATTCATATAATTGTCGAGATGAGTCGTAAGCTTGGAACTTTGGCTGAGATTCAGACTCTGGCACAGAAGGTGGATTCGATCAAGGAGAAAGTTGACGGGTCAGCACGGATTGGGATAGATTAATTACGCCATTATTGGATTTAGAGGGGTTGAGGACCAACGGAACTTTAAGACAGAAAGGAAATTATTTCTGTCTGGCCCCAAAAAAAGTTCTTATCTGAATCTGGTGCCCTTGAGCCTGTGAGGCTGAAGTGATTACTACTCCCCCTCAGAAGAAATGTGGAATGTTGCCGTCGCCATGGCAACTCTGTCTCCCTATCCCAGCCTAGGTGGGACTGCGACCGGTGAAGGCCGTTGAATCGTTCCAGGAGTCACTGTGCTCTCTAAACCCAACGACCTCCCTCCCCTGTCCAAACGGAGGTGACGAGTGCTGCTTATCGCGGCTGCATGCACTGATGTGAGGAGAGTCCACAACCCTACCTCCCCACCTAGTGGACATTTATGTTGTGTAAAGTCTGAAGTCTGTTGCATTTCTGTCTGAGGTGTTTTTTGCATAGCAAAGCTGCCCTCCCTGTGGAGGATAACTCTGAAGTGCCTTTTTTTTACTCCACCTGACTCAATCCTCATATAAACCCTCTGATCTCTATTAAAGTAGCACAATTCGGGCTGCGAATGACCACAGTCACCAATTCTTGTCATGTGTCTTTGCCTATGTATGTATGTCTGATCTCAGAATTGTGTGTATTGAAACTCTAATTTCCCTCTGGGATTAATAAAGTATCTTTGAATTAAATTGAATTAACCGCACCTCATCCATAACCTTGGTTTCTTTTGTTTCCCCGTTCTACGACTATCATCTCAGCCCCGATTCACCCCGTGTCACCAGTGGCATCACAATCAATGCTCCCTCACACTATCTGAGTAGACTCTGCAGCACGGTGGGTCAGAGCCACTCGCCAGGGCCCATCTATCACATTCATGCAGGACAGGCATCTATGACAAACTAATACTGAAGCCTGCGAGCTTCAAATCCTGCACAACCCCACTGGCAGAGAGGAGGTCAAGGGGCAGCACAATGAGACCGTGCTCTGGTGT